CAACCCAAACTATTCTACGATTCTATGATTTTCTACTGTATTTTCTTCTTGTGCCATTCTTCCCGGCAGCAGCTGGTAAGTTTTTATGCTCAAGATAGTTAAGAGAAGGAACCTAATGCCTGCACAAGGGAAGTATGAACAATGAACAGACATTTTTCATCAGTGTTGAGCTAATATGGATTCGAATGAAAAAGGGAATATTCTCTATCAAACCATCTCTGTGTGCCATTAAGAGCCATTACAGCCTCTTAAAATAGATGTTGACAGGAAAATCATACATTTCTTTACAGTGTAACTGTATTAAATGTCATTTACAATGGAGAACCTTTCACACTGCTCTTAAGCAGAAAGTTCTTTAAACTACCACCTTTTAAACTGTAGAATAGCAGAGTGAGGGGGCCCAGTGGCACTTCTAGTGACACTGTGACCTGCAAGTCAAGCAGTAAGTGCTTCATGTGATACTTCAGTGGAGATCAGGCTGTATTTTCATCAAAACAAGAGGGCTTTTGTTTAGTGTTTTAACATTTCACATTGTTGAACGCTTTTCTGTGGGAGTTAGTCCATTAATGATAAAAGTTAACACCATGGGCTTTTTTTAATGCCAGCAAATAGTTACAGGTCAAAGCTCACATGCATTACAACCCACCCAGGCATATTCTGAAACACTGCCTGACTTTTCTTTCCCCAACACAAGGTCACTCGGCTACAGAGAATGGGAGGAATAAGCAAGGGTTTCACATTTACAAGTGCATATATCAAGAATGCATCCTACCAGATTTCTTTCTTTTGACAACTAAACTGCAATTCCTTTGTTAATAACAGGGCTACTTAAGGAAGACACATTTCAGTTTATGGTCTCTTTTAACTCTTATGAAATATAAAAGATTTTCCTGAACAGTACTTAACAGCATATCCTGGCTCTGCAAAAACTACCAGATGCTTCAAGCCAATGCATCTTCATTCTGACCTGCAAAACTTCTCATGCTGAGAATCAGAGCTGCTTCGAAACAGGCTGCCAATGAAGTTAAACTGAGGGACAATCTCTGTGTGCTCAAACATTTACAAAGCAAGTCAAGCTCAGTTATTTGCTGACTACTCTTCTTTGAATAGTAGCTTCTCAGATCAGTGCGGACTCTTTCAGCATTTCAATGTCCTCAGTGCCATGCAACCCAAAGAACAATTTCTGTGCAAAGGGTACACATCTTTATTTGCTATCAATTAATGAAGTTAAAGAGGAACTTTCACACAGGCTAACCTCAGAGAAAATATTGACTGAAATAACTGTACTTTGACTCCAGCTCCCTTTATTTTCTCTGCTGCTTTTATAGTACATTTGAATTATCCAGTCTCACTTTCCTCTCTCAGTTTCTCCTTTAGCAACCCCCCATCATGACATCACTCCTCTGACATGCAGGTTTTTTACAGAAGGGCTGGACACAGTCCAAAGCA